TTTGTGCCATATCTAAGATCTGTGATAGATATATATATAGGGTAGAGCGCTACTTCGTCGTAATCACCCATTTCCGTTCTATTGGTCAGAAAAGATCAATAATATCAATGATTTCACCGTGCACAAATCAATAATAGGTTTGTTCCGATGCGTTAGTTCATTAGCTACAACATAAATCCTGTTAGAGCGCATTATATGAATATTTACGCTCATTGTTCTCAAAACAAAAGAAGCGCTCCTAGCGAATCCCATTTTTCTACGTTTATCCGTAGGACGAAGAAAACCTAATGGCGTTTCAATGCGTTCGGACGGAATTGAAACTCGTAGAACGAATTTAGAATCAAGAAGCAGTGTTAGATTTTAGACAATATCTCAACAATATGTGACTCTTTATCAAATCCAACGGTACCTATGGAAAGGTGAATAAATTTGCAAGTCATCTTTGACAGAAATATTCAATTTTTTGTTTAAACTCGTTCATAAAAGAGAGGTAAAGTGCGGGTTGTGCTTAGTAGGACGGAAATTAGATCAAAAACCCTATATATAGATAGATAAATAGATAGTTACAGACCTATATGTCTGCTGGATACACTCGGAAAAGTCTTCGAGGGGATCACGGATTGTCGGAGAGGCAGTTCGGATTCCGGAAAGGGAAATCAACGGTGGATGAAATTCGGACAGTGGTCGAGAGAGCCGAGACGGCGTCCAAACAGAAGCGGATAGGAGATCGATATTGTGCCGTGATAACGATCGACGTCAAGAATGCACCAGCTGGGAGGCCGTCACCGAAGCGCTGTATATAATAAGGGTCCCTGGTACCTGTGCAGGATCCTGAGGAGTTATTTCCAGAACCGAGTTCTGGCCCCTACGAGACAAACATGGGCAGAAATCGATTAGGATCACAGAGGGAGTTCCACAAGGCTTCATCCTTGGTCAAACGCTTTGGAACGGGATGTACAACGGTTTGCTAACGCTGAAGCTGCCCAAAGGAGTTGCGATCGTTTGCTTTGCGGACGACATCGTCTTGACGGTAACAGACGAGACGCAGGAATAGGTGGAAGTGTTGCCAACCGAGGCGATCGACATGATTGGTAACTGGATGCAAGGAGCAAAGCTGCAGATAGCCCACCACAAAACTGAAATGCTATTGGTCAGTAACTGAAAAGCGGTGCAGCGTGCGGAAATCACCGTCGGGTAGCACGCCATAGCCTCGAAGCGCGTGTTGAAATACCTGGGAGTGATGATCGATAATAGGCTAAACTTCAACAGCCACGTCGAATATGCCTGTCAGAAGGCTTCGAAGGCGACGCGATAGCTAGAATCATGCCAAACAACACTGGCCTCAGCAGTAACAAGAGGCGTCTTCTGGCTAGTGTGTCGTCTTCCATACTGAAGTATGGAGGTCCAGCCTGGGTTGTAGCGCTGGAAACGAAGCAGAACCAAGAAACTAGGGGAACAGGATTTTTCAGTAATCACATCTTAGTCCTTTTTACTTTTATGCCTTGTTGATAGTGACAAGACTCGGCTTTGTCCACCGAGTATGATCTTGAAACAAGGAAAAATGAGTTAGTTAGCCTTCAGAAGTGGTTAAGACTAGGGTTCTGATGCATGGTTTGATTATGATCCAATAAATTGCAAGTGTACCAACATTATTTTCCATAACAGTCCGAGTCAGAGTCAGTATTTTACGACTTCGACTCCGACTTTTTTTGCTCAAAAATGCGTCCGACTCCGTTTCCACGAATCCATCTCCGTCTTCACAGCCCTGACATAAATCAATGGTTTCTGTGATTTTTTTGAAAGCAGATGAATCATGGCTCTGACTTAAGTCAAACAGTTCGAATAATTTTGACTACCAAGCTATCCATATCCAATATGCGCATAGGAAGCCTATGCGCGCATAGGAAACCTTTTTCGGTACTTTCCTGTCTGACTCTACACGGGAAAAAAATCTGTACCGAAGTTCGTTAATCTCAAGTCACCATTTTCGGAACAAGCCAATTGTTCGTTTACAAAAGTACTCCATGAATAAAAACCATGAAATCATGAAAATAGTTCCACAAAATAAACGTAACGCCTGCGCTAAGTTGCACCGGGCACCAGCAAAGCCAACATAGAAACGTGATCTCTGTTCTGAAAATCATGATCTTGTTCTGGTAAACGTGATTAGAGTTCATGAGTTGTGCTTAATATCGTGAACCTGTTCTCGAAAATGGAATCACGGTTCATGGACAGTAAAACGTCAACATTAAAATAATTTCCATTGTTCTGATTGAATTGTACAGTGGAAGGAAACTGAAAACGGTGGAAGACTTGGCTGGAACAACCGAACATTGCAGATTTCATTCATCCTCCAAATTGGCAGCAGGCGGTAGGTGGACACACTTTGAGTTTATCAACTCAACGGATCATGAAGGCAGCTACGACCACCTTCATCATCATCATAACAAGCAACAAGTACTGATCACATGGTCCGAACTAGTGGAAAACATACCCACCGCCTCTGGGACAATCTTCAAAGTTTTCTCCACAACTGATACCGTTTTATCGCATATCACCAGAACGATCACTGGTTCACCCTTTCCTTCGAGGATTTCGGCCAGCTTGATGAACTCCACCACAATTCTGACGATACGGCTTCACTGAATGCACTAATAAACAACACACTACGATTCTGAGTCAATTAATCTCAGTCGCTGAGTTGGTATGATTGGCCGTGTAGGGATAAGTTTGGCAACAACCTGTAAATGACAGCTGTAGCTTTGCAAGAGATCCTAGCTCACGATTGCAGGAGCGAAAATCACAATTATGGGTTCAGGGTATCAGGAAAACCTCTAAAGTCTGCCGGAAAATTGACTAAAATTTTACTCAGTCTAGAACTAGTACCAATAGACTGAGTGAATCCAATCTTGACTTTTCTCATTCATCAAAGTAGTTTTAAATTAAGCCATCCACAGCTATTCCGAAGAACATGTGTATATATTTTCAAAAATACGGAACATTATTTTTGATTATCAAATAATGTCAGGACCACCATGTAGACCACAAGAAGGTGATTTTTATTAAAAAAAATTACTGAAGGCACCAATTAACTAAAATTTAAATTAAAAGTACTAGCATATTGTGTTTAGAATTGTTGTTAGGGTGGTCTTTTGAAAACCGTCTGTTGCTTACAACTTGTTTCATTTACAATTTCTATTGAAATTTATCTTCAAAAAATTATTTAAACTTAGCAAGACACACGGTTTGTTTTAGAGAGCATGTTTGTATCTCTTTGTTGAAGACGGTATTCGAAATATTCATTTTTGATACGAATACTGAACTGAACAGCATCTTAATCAGCAATTAAATGCTGGAATTAAAATAATATTTTTAATCCTTCAATCTTCCTTCATTATACTAACTTTATGGGTAATCGGTGGCAGGCATGGTAAATAATTAACATTCATTTACATTCATTTCGTTCATTCATTGGAATGAAATGGAAGCATTCATATAAAAATCTGTCACTCATTTACTTTAATTAAATGAAATTTTAAACCTCCGAACACGATGCATCTTGTAAAATAAGTAGTGGCACACTTGCAACGTTTAAAAAATCATAGCTCAGCCATTTATTGATGAATTTCAAATCTATTAGTGCCATTTGAAACTGTATACTTGAAAGATTCATTGGTTATTAATAGATTAAGAATCTATTAACAAATTGCTGAGCAATGATTTTTCAAAGATTGCAAATTTGCTGTTGCACATTTTGCGGGAGGCATCGTGTTCGGAGTTTTAAAAACTATATTCCCTACGTGAACCACCGATCAGGCATGGCAAAGCATTACATTCATTTACATTCATTGGCCTCTAACTTTTTCCATCAACAGAATTCCGTTAAATCATGTATGAAATTTTTGTAGGTTGTGATATTAACTACAACTTTTGTCGATAACTCAAATCTGTACCTTTTATGCATGACGAACTAGAGCGGACAGAACTTGTTACTATTTTTCAGTGAATGTAATTTACATTCACTGAAAATCATAGATAAGTTCTGTTCGCCCCTGTTCATCATACAGATGTACAGATTTGAGTTGTTGAAAAAAGTTGTAGTTAATATTAAAACCTACAAAAATTTCATACATCATTTCATGGTATTTTGTTGATGAAAAAAGTTAGAGGCCAATGAATGTAAATGAATGTAATGCTTTGCCATGCCTGATCGGTGGTTCACGTAGGGAATATAGTTTTTAAAACTCCGAACACGATGCCTCCCACAAAATGTGCAACAGCAAATTTGCAATGTTTGAAAAACCATTGCTCAACAATTTATTAATAGATTCTTAATCTATTAACAACCGATGAATCTTTCAAGTATACAGTTTCAAATGGCACTAATAGATTTGAAATTCATCAATAAATGGCTGAGCTATGATTTTTTAAACGTTGCAAGTGTGCCACTACTTATTTTACAAGATGCATCGTGTGCGGAGTGTTAAAATTTCATTTAATTAAAGTAAATGAGTGATATATTTTTAAGTGAATGTTTCCATTTCAGGCGAAAATGTTCCAAAAGGTCATCAACATCGTACGAGTGATTATATTATTTATAAACATCACCGTATGATTGGTACATCATTCAATCTCGCGATGTGCCATAAAAACAAAAATGTGTGCGTTGTTCCTATCAGCATTACGTAACATCAACACAGCTCATCCTATCAATGCATTGTCTCAATGTACGCCACGACACTCATTCTTGGACCTGGAACTCACACAGTTCGTCAAATCGAAGGAGGCGGAATGTCAACCTATAAGGAGATTATAGGTAGGCACCATTGAAGTTCACGCTGATAACGTTATCTCAGTATCGAACCAACCTCAAACATGAGACAATTGTCGCCAGCTCGAACTTTGATCGCTTCTTGAATTATTTACGTGTCGACATACCACGGTCAACCCCCACACAATTGATAACATGTACCGTTCGGTGGTGCGCCGTTGAAACTTACTCGCTTGTTGAGCTTCTCCTTGATGAACGGTGTGAACAGAGCCCAGACCATCTTGAAGATGAACGGTTGCTTGATGATGTGGACCGCCTTCAACCGCAGCGGTAAAGCCTCCTGGATGAACGTCAGCAGCAGCTTGGAGAAGGATGGCGAGAGAGCTCGGACTTGCTTGAGTGAGAGACCGTCAAAGTCCATGATGACGACGGCGCCGTTGATCTGGGTGGCCGGTTCCAGCTGGGCAATCAGGTGGATGAGATAGAACAGGCGGAACAGCTGCTCGGAGCTGACCTGCTTCGGGTCCCACAGGGCACCGCAGTTGACCAGCAGCACGCGGCGTCCCTTCTGGTCACGGTTCGCCAGCACATTGACAACGTTGTGCTCGGTGAAGGCGCGTCTTTCGTCCTCCGGCATCAGGTTGTGCAGCAGGTTGTGGTAGTTCTTCTTGAACTCGGCAATGCGACGCATCTGGCAGAAGAAATGAAGATTGTTGATGGAAAAGGGAATTATTAAATGTTAACTAATAATTTTCGAACGGTTTGGGAGATTCTTAAAGGAAAAGGGATATTTCGTCAGCTTTATCAACATTCTCAATTTATAGGTTCATTCTACAGCCTAAACACTTAAGGCCCAAGCGCAATGACGGCGGAAGCGGAACGGCAACAACAGCGGAAAAGCCCGATCTGAGTAAGCCTAGTTGTTGGATTGAAAACTAGTTAGATCCAAATCGACTTCGGTTAGGCATCTTGATGTCATTAGTGACAACTGTCAAACTTTTCGTTTCCGTTCCGCTTCCGCCCACATTGCGTTTGGGCCTATAGAATTAATTAATTGTACACGAGACGTGAAGGGTGGAACGGTCAAAAATTAGTCGACTCAGATATGGCGATTGATTTTTAATCGTGCATTTAAAAAAGCGTACGGAATGTTGTCTCTATTTTGTTTTTGCCATTTTCAATTCAGTTGTCAAAATGGCGTCGAAGCAAGAGGAACATCGTATTAAAATAAGCGAAATCCAATTATTCCCACGCAGATTGATTGCGTCAGAAATTTGATTGCACATTTCAAGCAGCTCCCAGGTCAAGAGTTTACACGGCTACCGGAAAAAGAAAGGTTCGAGATTAGTTTAAGCAGAAAAAGTTGTCAAAGTTCCCGAAAAACTACTTGGTTTGGCAGGTGTTTGCATCTGTGGGCTGAAAAGCAAAAACTGGCATTGTCAACCAAGATATTTATGTAAAGGAATGTTTGCAAAACACCTGTTGCCTTTTTTGAAGAAACACAAGTTATTCCGTGCTGTTTTGGCTGGAGCTAAGTTTCGGTCACTACGGGAAAACGGCTCAGGAACGGCCAACAACGTGCAAGTTTAACTCAAGGACAAAAACCCTCAAAACTTGCCGGAACTGCACCCAATTGACCAGTATTGGGCAATCGTTAAGCGGAACCTCAAGAAAACTCTGAATACAGTTGAAGCTGAGAAACAGTTCAAAGTAAATTGACGTTCAGCATCAAATAAGGTTGATACAACAGCGGTACGAAATCTCATGGAAGGTGTTAAACGTAAAGCCCGACAACTCGCATTTGGAAAATCGGAAGTCTAATCATATAATTTTGCTGTATTTTGAAGTCATTGAACTTCGAAAAGAAATAATGTTTGATCATTTATACAATAACATAATCAGTGTGCACTTAATCATGATTGACCAATTTTTGGACAAATATTGGACGTAAATAAACATTTCATGTAATATTAAGTGTTCTCAAACCGAAACACTAGACGAAGAGAACGTTTGATTGAATTGATTTTCTCGTATCTTTCAACTGATTGTTATGTCAAAAGGTCCACTTACATGTGTCGGTATCAGGGAACCAAAATTTACATAACTTTTTTTTTGAAGTGCGTAAACTTTCGACGTATCATGTAACCAAATGCCATGGTATATAATTAATTCTGACATTTTACTTTTGAATTGTAGTAGAGCAATTCTCACTACAAGCAGTTCACTTTTCACGAGGTTCTCAAAATTTTTGACGTAGGACTACGTCTGTGATTTCTATATGGGGTACATTTTGTGATTTCCCTAACACAGCTTTCAAAGTAGAATTCCATCCGGTCTCACCAAATGGTGTTAATTCAATCACCACGTGGTGAGTGGTGGTTTTCTCCAGTACACAACGAAAAGCTCCCCGCAAGCAGCTAGCTATCAAGGCTGCCTCCAACCGCTGATCGGATTCAATTCCAATTACCATGTGTGGTGGTGTCCGGTCAGCAACAGCAGCAAGGCTTTCGTCGCGTGGATTTTAACATTGTTCTCCTGTACACAACGAAAGGCTGCCTGCAAGAAGCGAGGTGCAGCCCACATGAGCATCCATAGAAAGAGGAAGAAGCCGCACTGCTATTGATCGGAATCAGTAGCTCTTCGTGAGTCGCGTGGGCCATCTATGCCAAGCGGGTCACCCTCATTCCAAACAACATACAGCTCACCAGCCTCATCTGTGTTTAACACTCTTATAGTTTAGCATTACTCAACCATCACGACAAAACCAAGGTGGTTTTTCAGGACCACCATAAATTTTGTAAAAGAGTATTTTTTGGACATTTGTCAAGGTCATCAATCGGATGCCAGTTCCCATATCAAGATAGAGCTGGAATTAGGGCGCAACAGCTTTTGTTCACAATCACCATCAGGTAGGGTAAGACTTCCCCTACCCGACGGTAATGTTGGTTTGCGTGGGCGTGCCTTGAATTCCTAAAAATCACCGAGAGAAGTTATTGTTAAAAAAAAAGCTGTTACGACGAATTCCAGCTCTATCAAAATATGCTTAAATCTAACATACCATGTACTTTAAGGCAACATGCGGGGTGCAATTTCAAAAACCAAAGTCGGTCGCGCCCAAAAAGTGGTCTGATTTTGATCCAGAGATGATGGATTTTAATTCTTAATACGCCAATAGAAAATTTTTCCACGAATCTGTTTAAATTAAGACTATATTTTTTTCAAAATGTCAATATTCAAAATTGCACGAATGTGCAACTGTTGCTATGCTAATTAAAATTAGCACCGATTGCCTGCGAAAACCGATTTCCCTAACACAGTAACACAGATTTCAAAGTTGAATTCCATCCGGTCTCACCAAATGGTGATTATTCAATCACCGCTTGGTGAGTGGTGGTGTTCTCCAGTACACAACAAAAGGCTGCCTGCTAGCAGCGAGCTGTAGCCCACATGAGCATTTATAGAAAAATGAAGAAGCCGCACCGCTATTGATAGGAATCAGTAGCTCTTTGTGAGTCGCTGTGGGCCATCTATGTCAAGCGCGTCATACTAAAAAGTATAAACAGAGAGAACTCCGCTGAAATTCCTATTCCTACACAAAACAGAAGCTCCTGCTACAGTAAACAAATAATATTTATTATATAAGACCACGTAGTCTAACGTCACCATTGCGCACAACCCCTTAGGGCTGTCCCTTGTAGTTTTTTTTAACTCGTAGTTAACAGTAGTTCTAGCTATGAGCTACAAAAATGGTTGGTTAAGGTCAAATTGATGGACCCCTCGGTAATTGACACCTCAAAAAATTTTCAATGGTGCTTAATTTTTGAGTAATCTTGATTCAGTCAAATCATTATATCTTTAAAAAATCTCAATAATACCGCTAATGTTTACAAACTGTTTAAAAGGGGAAAGTTAGGGCTTTCATTTGCCATGTACAAAAAATATGAAGGCTATATTGTATACCCAACAAACATTGAATGTTGATTAAGAGCTTATTCAGGCAAAAATAAGCTCCTTCAGCTAAAAAATAGCTTATTCAGCTGTTGATCAACTCAAATTGTTTGTTGGGTATGATCGCCATATTGAAATTATTCTTAAAAATGTGTTCTCATGACCTCCTTAAATCTTCGACCAGCTGCATATCCTTTAAATACCTACTCTCTAATCAAAATTCCGTCTTGGAAGGATGTCTGAAAGAAGTAAGTTGAATGTTTGGACGATGTAATGTTTGTCAGCCAAATTTCACAACAGTCCATGCAGATCATGATGATTGTGGTGGATGATTTCGATGTATTTGTAAAAACTATTTCCGTAATCATCTACAAAGTTTTAAAAATTTCTCCGATCTTATTAGGATCCAGAATTGTTTATTCGATCTCAGAACATCCATTACCTACTCCCAACATCCGAAAACAATCTGAACATTTTCTAGGAATTGCCCTGAACATTTTGGCGAAATGAAGCTCTCAAAGTTACACAGTTCCCCAAACTGATACGAAATTTCTTGAGCTTCTACGAAATTTCCTGAACATCTACACATTTTGCCGGACTTCTACAAATTTTGTCAAACTTCTAGAAAGTTTGCCGAAATTTTTTGAAGATTCCACAGCAACGACTAAGCTATTGACAATAACGACAGGCAATGTAAGACAAACAAGCAATGACTATGTAAAACTACTAATTAACTATGTACAATGCAGATTTTTCTTTGAAAACGCCACGACGCATGGCCGAAACGTCGGACAGATTACATCGTAGCCGTTAGAGTATTTAAAGATCGAGAAAGACGTTAAACAAAGCAAGTTTTTTGCTCTTTTACAAAATTCTTTGTAGTAAACTTTTACAAAGTTCATTTTCTGCAAAGTTTCAAAGTTTCCTGAACTTCTATGGAATTCCATAAACTCATAAAAACCATTAACGAAGTACCCTGTAATTGAGAGAAGGTCCAGGAGCAGTTTTATGAAGTTTCCTGAAATGAAACAAGGTTCCCTAAATTTCAACAAAGTCCCCCAAACAAACGTTCCGACTTCAATGAAGTTTTCCTGAATCTCAAATATGAAATTCTCTGAAGCTATGTGAATTCCTCCAAATGTCTCTTAAATTTACTGGATTGCTACGCTGTTCCCTGAACATCGAAAAATTTGCTGAAATTTTACGACGTTCTATGGAATTAAAGAAACGATTCCAGAACATTATTATTATTATCTCTATTTAGGAGATTTTCAGCCGCAGGCTGGTTCATCTCCGCTTCCAGAACATCAACGAAGTTCTCCGAGTTTCTACAAGATTCTCGAAATTTCTTTAAAATTCGCTAAATTTCTATAAATGTTGCTGAAGTTCAACAAACTTCTCTGCACTTCTACGAAGTTCACTGAAGTTGTACAAAGTTCGCTGAGGATTCTCAGAGTTAACTGAGCTTCTATTTGCTGCATTTCCAAAAATAAAATCCATAATTTCAATGTAGTTCCCTAAACTTGCACGAAGTTGTCTACATTCTACGAAGAATCATAAAGATCTATGAAATTCCTTGAAGATCTATAACAGTCCTAGAACTTTAACGAAGTTTCACGAACATCTAATCAAATGATTGGCTCTTGTCTTCTAAGAAGTTCCCTGATTTGACGTTATGTTATGTCTGTCAGCCAAATTTCACAATAGTCCATGCAGATTATGATGATTGTGGTGGTTGATTTC